ATCCCCCTATGCTGACCCTTTCTTTTTAATAAAATTATCATATCCCCCTTATACTATACTATACATTTCAAAGTGACATTCTATTATAACATTATTACTACCCCCCATACATATATCTCTTAAGTCAAATCTTTTATATATATTAATATAACATTTCAAAGCAACCTTCCACTATAAAACTATATAATAAATCCTAATTTAACATTCATTCAATTCAGCTACCCATTTCCTTCCCCCCATTGTTATATCTCTTAACTCAAATCTTTTACATACATTCACATCTAAACATAATATCCCTTTTCTTTAAGCTAAACAATCAGTAACCTAATCTGTCTCCACCCACTTTCCTACAAGACTACCATAGTTAATTGTTCTTAATATCTTTATTCTTCTGCCTACTCCACTAGAAAAAAAAATTCCCTTATGTAAATAAAATCCTATAAAGACTTTAAACTTGTAATCCATATAATATCTTCTGTAACGTCTTTCAGCTGGATAATAAACTCCATCACCCATGTTAGGGTAACATCACATCCAAATTCCAACAATATTTTCGGTATCTTCAATTACCATCTGCCCCCATCAGTAACAAATATCTTCATATTAAAAAAAAAAAAACAACCACCCGAGTGACTTTATATTTATATTCCATATAATGTCTATAGAGGTGTCTTTTGTCCAGATTATTAATTCCAACCACCATAATAGGGTAACAACCAGATCTTCTGCGTGCCCCAATCCAGTAACTCTCTTGCCATATAACTCAGCATAAACGTAATATATTTATCAAGAAATCCAAAAAACAAAAAAAGATATTTCCAATCCATTCAATTTAAGGCCCTTTTCTCATCCCAAAAGTTCAGCACTGCAGAGGTCTGTCATTCTCCTCAGGATAAAATAAACCAATACTTTGCCCATTATCTTTTCATATATTCAATCATCTCTTAAATAACTGGCATTACACTGTTGTTTAGTTTAAAAGTTTTTGTTTTTGTGAGACCTGCTTCTTCTTTTCTTGACTTTTTGTGGGTTAAATCTCCGTCCTGAATTCCTTTCTGTAGATTGTGTATCAACTATTTGGTTTTCATACTGATCTATAACTTGATCTTGTTGGTTTTGCTTTTGTGGCTTAAATCTTTCTGGTTCTATAAATTGTATATCAACTGATAGATTTCGATGCTGGTTTGTGTCTTGATAAGTCATTACATTAGAATCCGGAACCGCCTCTCTTATATTAAATAGTCCAGCTGAGACCTCTGAGAGAGAATCCAGAAGTGACTCATCTGTGGAGACCTCTGTAATTTGTTGTTTCTTCATTACTTCCATCTCCTTCTGCTTTTCTTGAGTTTCTATCTCTTGTTGATTTTGCTTTTTAAGGACCTTGTAGTAAAATTCTTCCGCTTTTTCAACAGTATTTAATTGATATCTTTCTCCTTGATATCTCAATATTATACCCACTGGAGCATCCCACCTGAATAAAATATTTTGTTTTCTTAGCTCAGTCACCAAAAGTCCAAATTTCTTTCTATCTCTTAACATCTTAGGCAGCAATTCTTTAAATATCCAAATTTTTCTCCCATACAGTTGTGGAGTAGAATTGAAGGATTTTTGCACAATATCATTTCTTATTTCTTTATCTGTAAAGTATATCACCACATCTCTAGGCAATTGCCTTTGCTTTGCAATCCAAGAATTTACTCTATAGGCCTTGTCAATTTTACATGATACCTCCTCAGGATGAACCTTTAAGATCCCAGCCAGAACTTGAGCAGATGTTTTTCTTAAATCATCACAGTTATTTTCCTGTAAACCTCTCATTCTGATCGCAAATTCTGTAAGCCTGTATTGCATCATTACAACTTCTCTTTCAATTCCTTGCTTTATAATTTAATTTTAATTGGGCCAAATTTATATATCTTTTAATTGTTTTTAATATTTGTTCTGCATGTTTTTTAATCTGGCTGTACACCGCCCTGAGTCCTCAGGGAGAAGGGCGGTATAGAAATCCAATATAAAATAAAATAAATAAATAAATATCTTCTGCATTATAAATCACGTGACCCGCTTCCTTTTTAGACTTTACTTCTAAACTATTGTCTTGAATGTTTGTTAAATCATTTTCAATTCTTTGTATTTTATTATCCAAATTATAAATCTTATCTTCAACTTCCTCCATTTTAGACTCTAGTAATTTAATATTTGTGTCCAACTTTATAACAACTTCTGAAAAACCATTAGTCACTGTTACAATCTTTTGTTGCAGATTATCATACTTTAGTTGTATCATTTCTTTAATTTCCTGCCTTAATTTTTCAAATTTCTGGTTCACTGTCTCATAATATTTTGCCATTTCCTCCTGAAGAGTTTTTTGAGCCACCTTTCAGGTGTAAAGGCAGCTCTTTACAGGCTTCGGGGCTTGCGGTCTCAAAGGACCATCTGGCGGCAGCGGAAGCCAGACCGGAAGCCCGAGGTACCGGTATCTTGAACTATAACCCTGATTCTCCTGGAATGCCAGAAAAAGTAATATTCCAACTCCCTCAGTTATACGTACCTAGGATTCTATTCTTTGCATTACAATTAATGACAAAAATAGCAAAGAAGGAACTTTAATGGTGGACGTGTGATAAAGCAAAGAAATTTTGGAGTAAGGTTCATATTATAATTCTAATTTAAGAAAGTTCTTAAAACGAAATAAAAATGAAACTTTTCTTTGGGGTTTAATGGAAAAAGACTTGGAGGAAAAAAATGTAACTTTGATCTTATATATCTTGACAGCAGCAAGATTATTATACACACAAAAATGGAAGGACACTTCAATTCCCACTCTGGACGAATGGCTACAGAAGCTGATGGAGTTGGCAGAAATGGCTAAATTGACCATTTTGATTAAAGAAAAGAATATAAGTACTTTTGTTCCCACATGGACTGCTTCTGAACTTTGGGCTTCAAGTGGAAAAAAATGATCCAATAAAAATATTAAACTGTGAAAAGAAATGTCTTATGCAAGCAAGATGCATTAAAGCAACGTATTTCATATTTGCAATTGTTCAACATTTCACAACAGTAATAACAGTCCTACCAGCCCTATAAATATAGACTGTGATCCATTCCAGATCTAATACCAGTTCCCAAACAGCCTTGAGATGAAGTTCTATTACCTTTTATTGGGAATTGCCCTTCTTGTCTGCCTACCTTTGCCAGGTAAGATATGCATAACAGCAAGAAATACATTTACTTTTCTTTTCTTATTTTCTTTTCTAAGAAACTAAGCTGTCACAGTTCTTCTGTATAACTTAGTACCTGCATAAAAGTACAGAAAAGATGCCTATCAGTTCCTTAAAGAATAGGCTTTGGGAATTTGTTGCGCAGATGTCACTCATAAATTTAGCAACATTGCTCAGTCCTTACTTTTTCTGAAAAAGAAACAACAGTTCAATGCAGTGTGTCCTGTTTTCATTTTCAGTTGTATAAATAAGAAAAGGAGGCAGAAACGAGGACTTTGGGGCAGACATTACAAGCAAATAAACTTTAATAAAGGACTAGCAAAGCTTTATTTCCAGTCCTTTTTTCATGTACCAACAAAGGATATTATTTGTAGTTCAGGGCTGAAATGATATTCCCCACGCTTTCTTCATGTTTATTTAGATACAGTACCAGTACATAAACAGACATACTTGCCCAGCTTGTGCGCTGCTGCAGATGCACATTAAATCACTTGGTTTTCATATTGTCCTATCTGATTAGCCCACTAGGAGTTAAATAAAACAATTTTTATTTTGGATATCAGCTGGTTTCCCTGGTTCTCCCAATGCAGTAATACAGTGGCTTTCAACCTTTTGGGCACCAGGGACTGGTTCCATGGAGAGAGGTTTTTCTGTGGACCGGAGGGGCATGGTTTTTGTGTGCTGCCTATATCCCGCAGATGGGGATTCGCTTGTTGGCGCAGACTAGTTACTGGCATGTGGCAGACCGGTGCCAGTCCGGGGATTGGGGATCCCTGCAGGAATAGGCTGATACACATAAGAGTCAATTGAAGAATGCCCCAGCTATCAGTGTTGACTGTATTGTGTATTTTTTGTGATGCCATAGATTTTCAGCATATGCATGTAAAGGTTCCTCTCGCACATATGTGCTAGTTGTTCCGAATTCTAGGAGGTGGTGCTCATCTCCATTTCAAAGCCGAAGAGCCAGTGCTGTCTGAAGACGTTTCTGTAGTCATGTGGCCGGAATGACAAAATGCCAAAGGTGCACGGAATGCTGTTACCTTCCCACCAACGGTGGTCCCTATTTTTCTACTTGCATTTTTTACGTGCTTTTGAACTGCTAGGTTGGCAGAAGCTGGGACAAGTAACAGGAGCTCACCCCATTACACAGCATTAGGGATTCAAACCGCTGAACTGGCGACCTTTCGATCGACAAGCTCAGCATCTTAGCCACTGAGCCACCGCATTCCTTAAATGTGTTAAATGCATGTAGATACATTTAAAATGGCATAGACCGCAGGCAGATCAAGAAGGAAAGATGAATTGCTTCCTGATCTGAAAGGGGGAAAATTACCAACATATGGAGGAGACATCCAGATATTCTTTTCAGCTGTGCCCATTTTTATATATATTTCAGGTGCCACGCAAGGGTTTGCAGAATGCAGGAATAAAGGTGGATTTTGCCGTCGTAGTGTTTGCCCTGCAACCACCGATCAAATTGGAGTTTGTATGCTGGAAAAGGTGAGTCTAAATTTCATGCATGAAAAAAAAAAAATCTCTGGTCATGAATGGATGGAGACTGGGGCTCTGTTATTTGCACTTGGGGAAGTTTCCGTTGCTAAAACTGGGAGCCATCTTTTTCAGTGCAAGGGGTGGTAGGTAAATACAAGCTGTAGATGTCAGAGAAGAGAATGTTTAATCTTCCCATGCAATTTCAACACAGTCCTATTAGAATCAGGCTAAGATGTTTGTTCTGTATTTCAGTTTTTTTATTTACATAATTTTGCCATCTCCTCCAGGCACCTATCAAGCTCGAGATTCCATGCTGTAAAACGTGAGTCTAAATTTCATGCATGAAAAAAAAATATCTGGTCATGAATTGATGGAGACTGGGATCCTGTTATTTGTTATTTGTTCTGTATTTCAGTTTTTTTATTTACATAATTTCTAACTTTTGGAATAGCAATTCACTAGCCCTTGTTCTTCATATGAATAATAACACAATGGTAGTACTACTCTAACAAGCAAGACTTTTTAAAGAAAATATACGTCATATTTTCTACAGGATCCGCCGAACTGAAACATCTTAATCTGATAATATACCTGTCAGGTAGGTTGACTGAATAGAAATGAGCATCCCAAGGTCCACCATTTAAGCTCACATTCACTAGGATTTCACTATCAAAGTTTTATTCTTGAAGAATGTATTTTATTCTCCTTATGTACACTAAGAGCATACACACCAAAGACAAATTCCTTGTGTGTCCAATCACATTTGGCCAATAAAGAATTCTATTCTATTCTATTAATTTTCTATCATTACAGTGTAATTCTTTAACATTTTGCAAACAATTAATGCAATCAAGATCCGAATTTTGAATATATTATACAATTGTATCATGTTACTTTCATCCTCTTTTTGTAGGAGATGATGCAGTTACTGCTGCTTCTTCCAGGATTGAGAAATTGGACCAAAGAATACTGTTACCTCTTGCTTCTTGCAATTCTGACTCCTTTAATGCTTATCCAAACTGCTCTTCATTAAGCTTCAGAGCACCTTTTCTGCCAAAGTCAAATTTAACAGAGATGTTGAAAAATCTTAACTTTTGCCGCTTTTGAATACAAGCAAACTTGCAGTGAACGTGTGCTGGTTTTTATTTATTTATTGAAATTACTTTCAAAAGTGTGTTTGAGGGTTTCGGTTGACTAAAACTGCCAAGGAAAAACAGGAGGCATACAGGGTAGTGGAAGAAATGTTACTTATTTAAGAATTTTTTTTGTGGCTGCCCAACTCACTCTCAGTGGCTTCTGGTGGCTTAAAAGGATAAAAGATCAATATAGAAGCAATAAAAAGCAATAATCTCATACACACACACCCTGTGACAACCAATAAATAAGCTACTTGATAGGCTCCATCTCACTCTGGGGTCTTCAGGCCTGTTGGTAAAATCAGTCTTCAGGACCTTGAGCAGGTGGGTCAAAGTGGGGGTCAATCTTATCTCCATGGGAATGATGTTCCACAGGAAGAGAGCCACCTTAGAGAAGACCCTTTTTCTTAGTCCAACTAGATGGACCTCCTTAGCAGAGGGGACTCATAAATTGGGTCCCTGTTCTAGTGGTTGTAGTAGATGTGACTGTGAAAGACACTTCAAATAATATCAGTAATTCAAATATGTCCTGAATCAGATGATCAAACACCCTGGCCAGGGCATCCTGGGATCTTACCTGCACCATTCTCCTGACCCCAATGACCAGGGGTTTTGTTCAATAGATGCAAGAGGATATCAGTCTGGAACCTATTGTTTTGGATAATTAGGACCTTATCAGGGACGGATATACTGACTTGGAGTTCCCATGGGCCCTGAAGAGCTAGCCTATCCAACAATGAGAACAATGCTCCACAGTTATGCTTTCACGCTGGCCAACTTGAGAGAACTTCAAGCATCACAGGGTTTGATTGATATTGAATTCTGTACTAATTAACTATTCTAGCGATTTGACAAATAGAAATATCAGAACCTTAATAGCACTAGCTAGCACTTAGATTTATATATCACACCATGGTGCTTTACAGCACTCTCTGAGCAATTTACAACATCAGCCTATTGTTCCCAACAATCTGGGTTCTCATTTAACCAACCTCAGAAGGATGAAAGGATGGGTCAACCTTGATTGGTCAGGATCAAACTCCTGGCAGTGGGCAGAATTAGCGTGCAACACTGCATTTTAACCACTACACCACTATGCATTGATTAGAATGCAGATTAAAACTAATCTAAAGGCAGATTAAAGGCAGATTAAAATCAAAATATTTGGACAAGAAAGTAGTTCTACATAAATCATGCTACAACTCATTCAGGCTTGAACATTATCAGCAACTGCACAGAATAAAAATATTTTTTCCAGAAGCAATTAATTGATTTATTTATATGTGCAATCAAGTCATTTTTGACACCTAGAAACCACATAGATAATTTTATCTCTAACCTGGTCTTTCAGGTCTCCCAAGCAAGAGGCCGCTGAAGTCTATTAAAGCTGGCCCTGATTCTTCCTCAGTTTAGAAATCAAAAGAGAAAATTCAGAAACAGACCCCCAAATGCATACCTGCTCATTTTGGAGTAGCTGAGTGATAGTTTAAAACACCACCATCTCTGCATTCAATTGAGGTCAGACTTAAAATTGAGCATTCAATTGAGGTCAGACTTAAAATGGACGGGTAGAAAATAGAGGAAGGAAACTACACAATTACTTTCAAACAGTTTAGTTGTTGTTTTCTCCCGTGCACTCAGTGTAAGATCTCTCAGAAAATAATATTTTTCTGAGAGATCTTGCACTGTACAACTTAGATCTGTACAATTCTATAAAGAAAAATCTGTTCAATTTGCCAGCATATAGATTATTTTCAGTTATCTTCCATTATAAAATCAACAATTCTCTATGTGATATGCAGCTACATTTCCATTCAAGGTATTATCAATGATAATGTTGCCACAAAGATTGTTTAGATTCCTGTATTTGTTTTGTTGTCCAAAGGTAAAAGTGAGAAATTAAAGCTTGCTAACTTCACCTGGCACTTCCATAGGAACTGATATTTCCAATGTTTCTAAATGTAATGCTTACAAGCTTATAAAATAGATTTTCCTTTTTCATAGCTTCAGTGGTTCAAGGCATATGACACAGATGTAATTCTGTTAAACCACAAACCACTAACTGTTTTAAAGTCTTACTTCAGAAAAACTTGCATTATGAAGAGTGGCAGTTGTTTAATGTGGTCACCATCACGTTGCCGTCATTGAACAATATTGGGCAGGAAAAGAACAACAGTTTCAACAATTACAACACATGGATATATGGATTCCATGTTCAGTATCCTTTGATGAAGATTGCTTTAGCCTGCTCATAAACCATGGCCAACATCAGGAGACTATCCGGATTCAGGATTGTTCACTTCTCAAGAAGGATGCATATACACACATCACTTCTACTTGGACAATGTCTTATTACAACATATGTTGTTTTCAATTAAAAAAGATTACCCATCATCTTTTAATTTAGTGTCTCTATCCTATATCTGCTATTTCTAGAGTAATTCTAAGTTCCATATTTTTTTCATAATTTATCTTTGTTGCAACTTCTCCTTTACTATTCTTCCTAAGGTCTAACTAGAATAATTATATTCCTTATTATTTCATAATTTCATTATTCTTTCAAATAGTATAATTGCAGTTCTATGTTAGCACCCTCTGTTCTGATTCCAGTCCTGCACGCTACCAACTATTTCTTCCTTGGCTAAATTATTTCTGGTAGGGACTGGTTCCTTGAGCTACTGCCTGTCTCCCATAGTATCTACCTGGCTGATTTGATCTGGCAGGATTGGTGCAGTCCTGATTCCATCAATTAGACACTGCCACCTATTGGGGTCCCCGAAGTACTTCTGCTTTGTAGCAGCATACAACAATTACTGGTAGTTGACAGTTTGTAAATCACTTAGTCCAGGGGTCAGCAATCTGTGGCTCTGGAGCCACATGTGGCTCTTTCACACCTCTGCTGCTGCTCCCTGTCACTCAAAATATACATCACAACTGCCAATGTGCGACACTCGCCAGCACACAATTTATTGAGCCTTTCAATCCCCGGTGGGCCAACCATGGATAAATCCAAGAAGATAAAAGTTTCAGAAGAAAATGGTGGCTCAGCAGACTGAAAGCATTGTGATTAACACCAGCTGTCTGCAACTACTGTAAGTTCGAATCTCACCAGGCTCAAGGTTGACTCAGCCTTCCATCCTTTCTAAGGTAGGTAAATTGAGGACCCAGTTTGTGGGGCAATAAGCTGACTTTGTATAAATATACAAAAAGTATGAAGGCTATTGCTTAACGCATTGTAAGCCACCCTGAGTCTCCGGAGAAGGGTGACATATAAATCAAATTTTAAAAAAAAATAGAATGTTTACTTCAACTACATATGCTAGTTTTCCTGCCCAATCTGTTGCTTCAGCTTATTGTAATTATTTTCTTTAACTGCACTGCATCTTGTTGTCAAATTATCCCCAAATATTTTACCTTATTTGTGACCTGTATCTTTGAAATCTCCGTCAATTCCTCTTTTTGCCTTTTCAACCTATTTTTGGTCATAATCTTCATTTTATCTTTATTAATTTTCAAGCCAGCTACTGTCCCAAACTCACCAATAGATTCTATCAATTTATTTATTGTTGTTAATGGTTCTTCAATAATAAAGACCAGGTCATCTGCAAAGGCTTGCAATTTATATTCTTCTTTCCAAATTTTCATGCCTTTTATCTCTTTTTCTTCTCTAATATTTCTATTTAGGACTTCCAGTGTCAGAATGAACAACAATGGCGACAACGGGCATTCTTCTATCTCAATCGGATCAGTCAATTCTCCATTTATTATTACTTTTGCAGTCTGTTTACAATATATAGTTTCAATTGCCTGGATAAATTTCCTACCAAAGCCCATCTATTCCATTTGAAGTATCATAAATCACCAATTCACATTATCAAAAGTTTTTTGAGCACCTAGAAATATCAACGTCATCTGCTTTTCATGTTGTGTTCATAGTATTCTAAAGTGTCCAGAATTATTCTTATATTGTCTCTAATTTGTCTTTTTGGAACAAAACCATTTTGATCTGTATGTATAAAGTTATTCAAATATCTCTTGAGCCTTTCTGCCAATAATGATGCAAAAATTTTATAGTCTGAATTTAGCAGAGATATAGGCCTATAATTTTTAATTTGTTGTGGGTCTGTATCTTCTTTATGGATCAATGTGATATGCCTCAGTCCATGATTTGGGTATTTTCTTCTTTGTCATCACTTCGTTCATAACATCCAGTAGTGGGAGACTTAAATGATCTTGTAGTGTCCTATAATATTCGACAGATAGGCCATCTGGCCCTGGTGCCTTTCCATTCTTTTGTTTCTTAATTGCTTCTGTTAATTCCATCATGGTAATAGTCCCCTCCAACATCTCCTCCACATCTTTAGAAAGCCGAGGTAATTTGGCATCATGCAGATATGTTATCACATTTTCATCTTCTATCATCTCTCTCTTATAAAGTTGTCAATAATATTCTTGTATTATTTTTCCCATTTCTTTATTTCCAAATTTCCTTTGCCCATGGTCGTCAATTAATTGTGTTATTTTCCTTGATTCTCTTTCTTTTTTCAATTTATATGCTAACCACCTTCTTGGTTAATTCGCATTTTCAAAATAGTTCTGTTTAGCACTTCTTATTTTTTGGGCTAGTTCTTCCTTCTCCAATAAGTCCATTTTATGCTTTAATATGTCCATTTTTATCTTTACATCTTTCTTACATGGATCTTTCTGGCGTTCCTTTTCAAATCTCTTATGTTCATCAATTAGCATTTTGGCAGTTTGTCTTTTCTTCAAATTTCTTTTTCTTGTATAGTCCATTATTAGACTTCTAGCATAGGCCTTCATTGTATCCCATAAATTTTGAGCCGATGTGTCTTCTTTCTTGTTTTCTTTAAAAAGGAAAGTCAATTCTCTCTCCATTTTCTGTACGAACTCTTTCTCTTTTAATATTGTGTTATTTAAAGTCCATCTAGATTTTCTTTTCCGGCCTTTCCAGGTAGCAGTTATTTCTATTTTC